GCGACTGCTGGGCTGTAAATCAGCGCCGCTCCTCAGGTGCTCGTGGAGATGCCGGAACTCGACAACGTCGCCGAAAATGAGATCGACCAGGTTTCCTCTCGAGTCTCCGATTGGTTCGGTGGTTCTGGCGACGGAGCAACACCCGCTGGTATTCGGAGTTTCGCTCCCGTGTCCGGCGGTTCTCTCTCGTTTACCCCATTACACCGTGAGTGTGATGGCTCAAGTGTAGGAGTTAGTGACGTGACCTGGACTCTCGAGGAGCTGTCAGCCGAGCCAGCACGGCCCATGATGCTGAGTTAGGCCAATCCAATGAGAAGTCTGTGCGACATACCGCCCTATGCAGACCGAAAGTGTATGTACCGTATGTACCAGCGTTCCAACGCATTGTACTTACGAGTTACGACCAGCGCCCTGACGCACCGGCTTATGAGCTCTTCACCGCGGGACACCGGCATGTAGTCTCCGTACGGTTTTGACAAAGGACAATGAATAGCTGCGTTCTAATTATAATTTGTAGCTTGATATATGAATAGTTAGTTATTATGCTAGTCAGCCTTTCATAGGATATGATACGAGCGATAATAGCAATGCCCTTTATCGACATGTTTTTAAGAAGCATTCTGTCCATATCCCCACCACGTAAAAGCCAATTCATTGCCATAGCCGTGCCGGCTGCGAGAAATGCGCCAGCCGTATTGTGAAACGCCCACCGCCGGGAGCTACGAGGCAAATGCAGTTAGTTATTCCATCATGAAACCCATCCAGCGGAGTCTGATTCAACAACAGGTCATCCGCGTACATATTTGCATCCAGTTAGATTAATTGGGCTCCTGCCATCGACACCACTCCAATCAGAATGGGAACGAACTGCCTGGTTGAATAATCATCGAAGAGAGAATATGCATCATACCCACACAAAATACATACCTATCTGTAAGAACGAAATCCACTCATTAGTCATTACTAACGCATCAAAACATGTTTTGTTTAATGATTAAATTAAAATTATGAATTAATTTTTATTGTAAATTATTATGATCATAGCTTTTTTGTCGCTATTTTCATGTGGACCCCTTTTAACCCGCGCCCTGCTGGGGGGGGGGGGGGTGTTTGAACACCCCCCTTGTGGTTTTTCGCGAATGGAGCGCCGCCGTTTTTGATCAATTCTACACATGTTGTGAAAATTTCAGACCAAGGTCATTCAAGGTCAGGTCACCAGGTCACTTGAAGTGACCTCACCTCATAAAAAGTTTCAATCTCTGTCATAGCTACACCGATTGACCGATCGCTTTGAAACTCAGCGATTGCTAAGAGCAATAGCATGTACAAAATGTATATCTTAGAATTTTGATATCGATGACCTAAGGTCAGGTCAATTTTGCGACCTCCCCATTATAAGTCAATGGGAGAAAATTGAAATGCGCCTCTTTTGGACGAAAGACATTATAAACACTCCCAAACACCGAATTACAAGTGGTTTAGACACTCTGAACATGAAAATGGTGTCCGTGACCCTTGTTTGTGCCCTGAGGTCATCTTAGGTCACGAATGGTATCTAACAGTTTTTCGCAAATAACTTTTGATAGAGGCATGCTAGAGCGATGAAAACGCCTTATATGTGTTCAGCTCGACGATACGGATCGACTGATATGCAACATGACCCTTTCCGGTCAGGTCATGACCTTGACCTGAGGTCAAATTTTCAAGTTGACCTTTCAAGGTCAAGTTATAGTTCATTCGATGCGTCTTGACGAGAGGAACACGATGCCGGTAAAAGTAAGCTCGTTCAAGGCTTGGGTCAAAAGTTATTGCAGAAAAACTGCTTCCGAAAAAAATCGGCTTTTTTGCAGTTTTTGCCCCCTGCAGGCAAAACCGTTGACGTTAGGTCAAATCTGAGAGAATTACTCAGAAAGGGCGTTAATAGGGCTATCGAATGCACTTTTCCGCGGCGCTGTAGCTCTATTGGTTCCCGAGTTATGCGTTGGCTTCTTGGAAATTTTCGACATTCGACCTGGAAATCGGCGAAATTCTGCCTTCAATGACCTCTGGTGACCTGACCTTTGACCTGACCAAAAAATTGACCGAAGTGATTTCGTCATTATTTTTTACGCTCTTTCGAACGCCGCCTTCCGCGTATCGCTACGTAGCCCAGGAGCCGAGTTACAAGGGGGGGGGGTGTTCAAACACCCCCCCCCCCCAGCAGGGCGTGGAAATTCAGGACCCCCAGCCGGGCGCGGGTTAATAATACATAGGGAATTAAAGCACAGTAAATCAATGTGCTGCTCATGACACTATATAGTAAAATGATAGGTATTGCACCAGCTTTATGGTGAAACGCATTGCAGTAGGTACTTACCATAGAAGTGCGGAGGCCAAAATGTCACAGTTGACTTCGTTCTTTGGACGACAGATGCAGCATTTGTTTTTTATTTGTTTGTTTTTCTTTCGCGTTAAGTTCTTCATTGTGTTCAGCAAAGCAGTGTTGGGGCCCTAGTAGCTAGACGTGTCGCAGTGTATGTACCGGGAAAAAGTAGGGGAGAGTGGGGTGGGTTGTATCAGTTTTTACTCCGAGACCCATAACCTCGTAACTATCCGTGATAAACTCATTATTTCCATACTATCTCCTTCCTTGATTCTTCTGCTTTTTTGTGCCAAGTAACTTTTCCGCTACCTCTACCAGTTTTTCTTCTACAGTCTGCCGAATAGAACAATGTTTTTGATACAACCTGCCCCATGGCTTGGGTGAGTTGTATCACATGGTGGGGTAATTTGTATCACTAGGTATTTCACGTTTCAGGGAGTGTGCTTGCTACTGGTTTTACTGGTTTTGAGCATAACAACAATATTAAATGGGGTTGATACAATGTATATGCTCAAAGGCTTCACTTTTATTCGACCAAACTTAGGTCAATGCAATCCGAACGAAACATCGAAACGAACGAAACATCAACAGACTAGACGCAAAAGTGGCCCGTTAAGAGCAAAGAAGCCAACACATTGTGCCAAAATGGAACGAGTATTGACTAGCTACCTACAAACGCGAGCCAGGGCTTAGCTTTCGCGATCAAAAGCAGCATACCCATACATACATACATGTTACAACATACCCCACCCGGCTCTGATACAACATGTACCTCGCCGCCATCTTGGAAAAACATCCTCGTGCTCAAAAACAGCGGACAGCTGGAGAAATCCATTTTCACTCACGCAGCCTTAGAACCTACCCTCACCACCGCTACGGAGATCTTTCAAATTCGTGCACATCTAAATGTCCAAAACACACATTTTCTTGCAACTTATTTTTTTAGAATGACATTAAAAAAACATAAAATCGGCTCTCACCTCGAGACGCGTCCACCCAGCCACACGACAGAACAGGGAAAGATGGCGCCCGGAAAACCTCGTCGGCTGGTCGTGTCACGAGCGCCATCAATTGGATAAGTTTCGCACAATTCGCCCTGATACAACTTGGACATGATACAACTCTCCCCGCTCTCCCCTAACATTTACATTGGAATGCTAAATCTCAATGCACCTGATCAGAACCACTACGAAGAAATCCTATTAGGTACCTACGGCTTCGTGGACTGTACATTTGCCCGAAAACTGCCATCAGGCAGTGAATGGTTGGCATCACTTCACTTTTACAGAGCCCTACATGGAACCAAGATGAAATGGAAAGGACCACCTGAATGTCATGCATAGGCGGCGGAGTGGGGAGGGCACCGGGGCACCGTGCCCCCCTTTGATTTTGACATTTTAACATTAACCCTATGGGCTTTGCACGGAAAGAATGGGACCAAAAGTCGGCAGTGCCCCCCCCCCCCTAATTGAAGGTGTTCCGCCGGTACTGATGTCATGTGGATTCTATTGCTTGTATTTTCATTGCGTGCCTATGGCATTATGGCTGCTATCATCAGCTGCACGTTGCATTGAAACCTGGCTACCGACTTAAAACCTGGCTCAATAGAAGTTAACGGAATTCATGTCTTCAATTAGTCGTCACTTTTCTCATCCGTGCACGCTATTTCACACAAACGATGGAGATGTTTGACGCAAGTCTGTGTTGTTACTCCTTCCAGGCTAAGGTTCGCTATCTCGTTAAAGATAGCTGAAATTGTGAATTTGTGTGGCATGCCATAAGAAAATAAGCCTTTTGTTCGATAGAAACTCTGACCTTTGGTTCAATCAGAAGTTTTAGCGCTGCTTGCATTTTCAGGCCATCATGTCAGATCACTGACCTATGACGTCATGCATGAACTTTTGCACTCTCCAAAAATATCGCAGCCTTGCAACGCTGACAATTCACACAGCATACTTTTCTGACCATCATTGGATTGCAATGCATTTCTTGGATTCTTTCAACTTAGGCCTCTTTACGTATTTAATCGACATCTGCATCAAGCTTTTGTCGACATATCCACGGCACTTCCGACTGTGACCTTCCAGCTGCAGTGTTAGTTATCCCACTCTGTCCTGATAGAGACTCTGCCGTTTACCTCGTAAACGGCGTCGGGTACAGAGTCTGAGATTTCATTACGGCGCCCGAGTGCGCCAGATTTGGTCCCTCAAATGGTCGTCCAAACGGGCCTTATTAGCCGCGCCGACTCAGCTAATGGCTGGTTCGCTGAGCGGTGCCGCTGGGCTGCACAGCACTGCGGTACGGGCTGGGACTGGTGACGACGGGCACGGAACGGCGGTCCGCCGGTGGTCAGCGACAGGGAGCTCAGATGGTCCGAGGCATGTGGATATAGATTATAGTTACAATTATATGTTTTACTGATCTTCTTCATGGATCACTAATGCTCGCTGGCTGTCATTATTGAATCATTTATTGACGTACTGGACCTGTTGATATATGTTGACCAATTATTTACAATGGCATTTGCCCGGTGACTGACGAGGACCATTGGTTGTCCACGGATCATGATCAGCGCAGTAATAGCATAGCCATTACCTGATGGCTGTTTTCAGTGATTGTGGATGGTGGCTATATCATGATGCCTGATGATTCGATAGTCCAAAGGCCAGTCACTGACTGATGAACTGGAATCAATGACTGATAAGAACTGCTCACAACTGAGCCACCCAATGGCAACCAAATAACTCAGTACCAGCCTGCTCACTGGCTGCGAAATTTCCGATCAACGCTGCTATGATTGTGATCTCGAATAAAATAAATCCGTCTCAGATTTACATATAAACGCCGATGTTTCTGCGTTTAGTGTTATCTCCATCTTTTTATCGTTTGGGAGTATCAGACGTCTAGGTCTGACATCTGCTGAACGCCTCAGACGCCTGCAGGGACTCAGAGACCGCTGAGCTGACTGTTCTGTTCCGTTTGGTAGGGACCGGCGCCGCGTCAGTACGCACATCCAGCGGATGGAGCGAGAGGGCGTGGAGCGAGTGAAGATGTTCGTCGTCATTGTGATCGCGTACCTGGTGTTCTGGGGGCCGCTGTTCCTGGTCACACTGGCACGGCCCGGAGGTGAGAACCCCGACCGAGAGAGAGAGAGCGTGAGAGCGGGGTGAGACGGGGCACGGGACAAAGGTGAGAACTGATTGCAGGCCTGACCGGCCAACCGAGTCGTGGGGCTGTATGGTGAGTGGTCCAGGCTCGCGCTCTCCACGACTGACTGGCGACTGCTGGTATGAGAGTAACTAGGGCCACGCAGTGAGAAACGAACTGCAGTCTCGCTCGCTCGCTCGCTCGAGTCGGGTGGGAGCGCGGGTTCGGGTGAGAACTGAGAGCCTCCCAGCCGACCAGAGCGGCCGCGGCGCGGACGGGAGGCAGCGCCGGGCGTCTGGCGACAAATTACGACCACTTCTCATCAGCCAGCTATGATCACTTGAGCTGATGTTATTGTGGTAGCTCTGGTGAAGGCTTTTGGCAGCGAGACAGAGCGTTATTTCAACCGTGCGAATGCTGTGTTTCATTAGCTCTGCTCCTAAGACGAAGATAGGTACGCCTAGAAAGCCTAAACGTTCCACTTTCAAGTCAAATACATTGCTACTGGCTGAATGCTGTTCGAATTTAAGCGCGCCAGAGGACTATAAATTTGCAGCCGGCAACATTAGCCCTCGTTCTCCTCTCATATACCGACGTGTCTCAATGTTCTTTCTCCCTCCCTCTCTCTCTTTCTCTCTCTCTCTCTCTCTCTCTCTCTCTCTCTCTCCTCTCTCTCTCTCTCTCTCTCTCTCTCTCTCTCTCTCTCTCTCTCTCTCTCTCTCTCTCTCTCTCTCTCTCTCTCTCTCTCTCTCTGTCTCTCTCTCTCTCTCCGTCCTCTCTCTCTCTCTCCGTCTCTCTCTCTCTCTCTCTCTCTCTCTCTCTCTCTCTCTCTCTCTCTCTCTCTCTCTCTCTCTCTCTCTCTCTCTCTCTCTCTCTCTCTCTCTCTCTCTCTCTCTCTCTCTCTCTCTCTCTCTCTCTGTCTCTCTCTGTCTCTCTGTCTCTCTCTGTCTCTCTCTGTCTCTGTCTCTCTCTCTCTCTCTCTCTCTCTCTCTCTCTCTCTCTCTCTCTCTCTCTCTCTCTCTCTCTCTCTCTCTCTCAGTCTCTCTCTCTCTCTCTCTCTCTCTCTCTCTCTCTCTCTCTCTCTCTCTCTCTCTCTCTCTCTCTCTCTCTCTCTCTCTCTCTCTCTCTCCTAGCTCTCTGTCTCTCCTAGCTCTCTGTCTCTCCTCTTTCTCTCTCTTTCTCTCTCTTCCTCTGTCACTCTCTCCTCCCTCTCCATCTCCCTCTCCCTCTCTCTCTCTCTCTCTCTCTCTCTCTCTCTCTCTCTCTCTCTCTCTCTCTCTCTCTCCCGAGCTAACCTCCAAACATTGCGTCTGACACAGCTCTATAAAAAGCCAGCCATTGAACGGCCCCAAACCGGACAGCGGCTTCCTCCCTTCACGGCACACTCGAGCTCAGCCCAACAAAATATGTTTGTCACTGCGGAAGTGGCTCCCATTAGAGAGTGTTTTTGCGAGCTAACAAAGTTGTACGGCATCGCAAGAGCCAGCCGCAAACCCTAGCCAGTTCTGTTACGTTGCACTCCACATCTGAGTGAATGTCATTTTGACAGCATTCTGTCCTGTACTTGGTAACGTGGGTGTTATGGAGCCGCCCTGTGCGATGGAGCGTCTCTGGTTGGCCCTGTACCCGGCGCCACCTCAGCTGGGTGGCTGCCAGTGGGCCGTGTCACCCAGCCGCTCCTGATGACCCCCGGGGTTGTATCGGACCTGCACTACCCTACTGTCCCGAAGGATAGTGGAAAAAGGTAAATCTATGCAGCGGTACAATTATCTATCATTTACAAAGCAATGTTGAACCAAATGATAGCGTAAGTTTTGCAATGTTGAACCAAATGATAGCGTAAGGCTAGGGGACTGGCAATTTGGTGAATGTTTATTGTGCAGGTTACGAGCTCGGGAAGTTCTTACAACTGTTTCAATTGTGACACCATACTTTGTGTCCTTCGTAGGGTGCGCCAGTGAAGGGAGGCCATGCTGTTCACGTTCACCTCGTCTGTCTGTGCGTGTGCGTGTACGCGTGTGTCTCCGAGTGTCAGTGTGCCGGTGTCCGGTTGACGTATCGGCCAGGCTTCTCCCTGCTGCCGTCAGGGCGGCGCGCCGGTCTGCCCCACGAGGTGACCCTGCATATCGCCTTCGTGCACTCGTTCGTCAACCCGGCGCTGTTTCTTATCCTGCACCGCGGCCTGCGGCGGGCGGCGCTCGACGTGCTCTGCTGCAACTACGGCGGCGTGGGCGGCGCTCACCACGGCGGGCCACCCCCCGGCGACGACCGGCGGTCCAGCCTGCGGCCGCGGCGCTCCGAGTCGGCCTGTAGCCGCAGGGACAGCGTCGAGGAGGAGACGTTCCACTCGTACCCGTCGCTGCACCGCTCCTACCTGCCGTGAGTACTGCTGTATCGCTTCTACCTGCCGTGAGTACTGCTGTATCGCTTCTACCTGCCGTGAGTACCAGCACTGTACCGCTCCTACCTGCCGTGAGTACTGGCAGCTCGCCGCTCCTTCTTTCTGTGAGTACTGACACTATATCGCTCCTCCTTACTGTGAGTATCCGACAACACATCGCTCCTTTTTACTGCGAGAATCAACACTAGACGGACCTTTTCTACCTAGCTTACCGACACTAGACGGTTCCTAGCTGCCGTGAGTACAGATACCACGCCACTTCATTCTATTGGATCGTTGCCGCCGTCTGTGCTGTAATATTCCCTCACCTGCAGTGTCAGCTTTTGGCGCAGCAGCACTTCTCTGCTGTTATACAACGAAAGCCTGTATTGCGGTTGCCTTCTTTGTTTCAATGAATTGTCTCGTTGTGGCCTTTAAAACTAATCTAGCACTGTAGTATGATGCCACTCAACCCCTTATCAGCATTAGGGCCTCTAAAAAATGTCATAACCGACAGGACCAATCTTTGGTATGTCAGATAAATATTCCCATATTTTTTTGTTTTGTAATTTGCAGACATGTGCAGAATCCAATCCCCATGGGCTAACGCTCACGCATTCGTTCAATTATCGTCATAGGGTGGCATCTGTACAGCTGTTTTATACATATGTAGATTCCCAGTCCCCAGTCAATGGAACTATCCATGTCTTCGTTAGGCGCCAGGGCATGGCATTCTCCAGATGCACACCAAAAATCCTCGCCTAAGTTATTCCGCCGTCGTCTCGGCCAGCGCCGAGGCATTACCGCCCGTCCATTATACGGCCTAATGGAGCAGCAAAAGACAAAAGAAACGGCGAAACGGGAGGTAATGGCGCCAGCTAATGCTGTTACCGACCACCTGGACGTGGGATGCATCATTGCGCTGAGCCGACGGGCCGGCCCTCTGTGCCCCCCATCCCTCCCCCTGGGTCCCCCTGTGACCTTTGCCCCCCCCCCCCCCCTGGAGCGTTGGTGTCGCGTCGTCTGCCTGCTCGGTCCAATAACTGTTCAGGCTCCTTTGCAAAATGACCCATAACTGTGCTGGCTCGGCGCCATCAACGTCGGTGTCCGGGATTTACCCATGTGTTGCAGCCGCGTCCCATTGGCGATACAGGGCGGGTGAGCCGGTCCGAAATGGTCAGAGCCCATCGGGCAGCGCTCGCCGGCTGTATGACTGATAGCCAGATCAGCACCGATAGTGGCCTATATTGGCCGGCCCAGTTCAATAGGGTCCGCGGCGGTACATAGCGACGGCAGTCGCACCACCAATGCCAACGGGATATTTGTGCCGTTTTCCGATCATCTAGTCTCATCTGTCATCCGCTTGACCGAACAACTATTTGCGTGAGTTAGATGTATCGAGGGATACTTCAAAGGGTGTAAAAAGCGGAAAGTCTCCCTCGCGATTTCCGGAGATTGAGCTCAAGTCCAATGCATCGCAATCCCCGACTTACATTTTAGTAAAACTCAAAGCATCGCGCGGCTCGGCTGCTCTCACAGTAAGCCGGTCTAAAACTCGTTGCTGGGAAGTTGGCTGCCCGGCTGGATGACATTTCGCAGTCTCCGGGAGCGGGGTCGGCTGGAAGGATGGGTGGCCCGCGGCGCGGTGCTCTCTCTCTCTCTCTCGTTTCCAGCTGCAGTGTAGGCGCTGCTGAGCCGGTTACCTGGCAGCTACCGTGGGCCCGTTGCAATAGTCTCATTAACCCGCGCCCTGCTGGGGGGGGGTGTTTGAACACCCCCTTGTGGTTTTTCGCGAATATCTCAAAAACGGCGGCGCGGAGCGCCGCCGTTTTTGGTACACATTATCATACATCAATTCTACACATGTTGTGAAAATTTCAGACCAAGGTCATTCAAGGTCAGGTCACCAGGTCACTTGAAGTGACCTCACCTCATAAAAACTTTCAATGTCTGTCACAGCTACACCGAGTGACCGATCGCTTTGAAACTTTCAGCGATTGCTAAGAGCAATAGCATGTACAAAATGTATATCTCAGAATTTTGATATCGATGACCTAAGGTCAGGTCAATTTTGCGACCTCCCCATTATAAGTCAATGGGAGAAAAATGAAATGCGCCTCTTTTGGATGAAAGACATTATAAACACTCCCAAACACCGAATTACAAGTGGTTTAGACACACTGAACTTGAAAATGGTGTCCGTGACCCTTGTTTATGCCCTGAGGTCATCTTAGGTCACGAATGGTATCTAACAGTTTTTCGCAAATAACTTTTGATAGAGGCATGCTAGAGCGATGAAAACGCCTTAGATGTGTTCAGCTCGACGATACGGATCGACTGATATGCAACATGACCCTTTCCGGTCAGGTCATGACCTTGACCTGAGGTCAAATTTTCAAGTTGACCTTTCAAGGTCAAGTTATAGTTCATTCGATGCGTCTTGACGAGAGGAACACGATGCCGGTAAAAGTAAGCTCGTACAAGGCTTGGGTCAAAAGTTATTGCAGAAAAAACTGTTTTCGAAAAAATCGGCTATTTTTGCCGTTTTTGCCTCCTGCAGGCAAAACCGTTGACGTTAGGTCAAATCTGAGAGACTTACTCAGAAAGGGCGTTAATAGGGCTATCGAATGCGCTTTTCCGCGGCGCTGTAGCTCTATTGGTTCCCGAGTTATGCGTTGGCTTCTTGGAAATTTTTGACATTCGACCTGGAAATCGGCGAAATTTTGCCTTCAATGACCTCTGGTGACCTGACCTTTGACCTGACCAAAAAATTGACCGAAGTGATTTCGTCATTATTTTTTACGCTCTTTCGAACGCCGCCTTCCGCGTATCGCTACGTGGCCCAGGAGCCGAGTTACAAGGGGGGGTGTTCAAACACCCCCCCAGCAGGGCGTGGAAATCCAGGACCCCCAGCAGGGCGCGGGTTAATGGAAAAGTACAGAGCGCATCTCACAGTGACAGAAACAGCAAAGCATGGTGACGTGCAGAGATTGCGGCTGAAGAAACCCATTTTAGCTGGTCTCTGTTTCGAATCCGCAACTGACAGTGTGCGAGAAATGGAAAGCTAATGAAAAGTGGCGTGGCAAAGCGAAGTGAAACATTTTTAGCGCGTGAGCGAAATTCAACTGGCATGTGGCGTAAATGCTATCGCGATCTTAGTGCGACCTCGGTCGTTGCTGCTGACGGCCCATCGCCAGCCATGGCGCAGGTGTCACTCAGCCGCAGCCCTGGTGGTCACACTCGGGCTTCCCTGCGACCGCTGATACCCACTACCACATATCAATGTCCGTCTCCGTCCCGTCTCCGTCCCGTCTCCGTCCCGTCTCCGTCCCGTCTCCGTCCCGTCTCCGTTCCGTCTCCGCACCGTCTCCAATCCGTCTCCATTCCGTCTCCGTTACGTCTCCATTCCGTCTCCGTTCTGTTTCCGTGTTCTCTTCGCCCCGTCTCTGTTCCGTCTCCATTCCGTCTCCGTCTCCATTCCGTCATCGTATCCGTTTTCTCTCCCCGGCCTGTCCAGCCTCCAAGTATTATCCTTCTCAACTTTATCCTGCTGTCTCATTTATCTTTATTTATCTTTGACACGTCTTTGTCACTTCCTCTTTTGTTACCTTGACACGCCTTCGTTCCGGCTCCATTCTACATGCATCTCGAGCCCCGTTATTTCCATATCCGTTCAGTTGCCGACTCCGCCTGTCTCCATCCTGCTCCTTCTCGTCTCAAAAACGTATCTCCCATCCTTCCCCTATCTCCATCTCCGTCCCGTTCGCATTTACCCACCTCTGCAACACCCAGGCCGTAAGTCGCTGGCTGCACTAAGCGTCCGCTCTCAGCCGGGGACAAGGCGGGTGACGCCCGGGTCGGTCGGCTTACACCGCCGACCGGAGACAAACGAGATTAAAATGCTAAGGTAATTCGGTAGAGCGCGACTGGCGAGGTGGCAGCGTGATGGAGTGGGTCGACCGGAGCTGACCGACGACAAACGACGGACCGGGTCGGCTCTCAGACGTCCTCTCAGACATGCCTATGAATAGTGTGAGCCGCATATGTCTGTGTCAACTTTACAGTCCAAACAGTCACCTGCTATTGATGATGTTGTCAGAATGACCACCTTCTGTCAACATTGGTGTCAAATTGGTTATCGGAATGACTACCCGTTGTTGAATCTGCTGTCAAATCGGCTGTGGTGTCCGTTGAGGCTATCCGCTCTACAATAGTGCCAGTGTCGAATCCCTCCATGGAGTGTGGTTCCCTCCGTCATTGCAACTGGGCGTCCCAGTACGGCGGGTACGCGTTTATCCGCTGCAACTGTGCTTGAGGAGTGGGCGACCGCTGCTGTTCGTGTTGACCAGCTGCGCGGCAGAACTTGGGGGCGATCGAAGCAGTGACGTTCAAAATGACACCCATCTGTGGCGCCGTTCCGATCCCGACCCCAAAGCACAGTCGTTTGCTTATCGTCCGTGGCCAGCGCTGGGCGGGCCGGGATTCTGGTCACGGCGCGACAGCCCCGCCCGGCCGGGGACGCTCGGACTCGGTCAGACGTTATGGAGCCGGAGACGTTATGGAGCCGGCCGGGGAGGGGCTACGGAGGGGGGGGGGGAAGCCTCAGATCCACGGCACCCTGCGGGGCAGTCTGACGCCACGGGTAAGCGTGGATATACTTCAAGACGATACTGTCGCCCCCTGAATATTGCTCTTTTTTCGTGGGCTATCCTTGTGCGAACAGTAATCCTTGAACAGTCTGGCGGTGATCCCCTGACAGTTGGACAGGAATCCTATGACTCTGTAGCTCTGACCCCTCTTGCTGACTCCGGCGGTAACTCTCTGACTGACTTTGACTCTCTCGGCACATATTGACTGGCTCTGACGGTGACTGACACTGACGGCGACTCTGACTGACTCTGGCGGTGGATCTCTAACCGACTCTAACTCGCTCGGCACTGACTGACTGGCTCTGAGCGCGGAGCGCGGCGGTCCCAGCTGCCCGGCGGAACTGTGGCCCATCTCCGCTGATCCATCCGAGCTGGCCGGCCGGGCGGCCGTTCATACTGCGCGCTATGCACACTAAGTAGAGGATTACCCTGCAGAGCCGCGACCAGATGGGCGCGGCCGGCGCGGCACAGCTCTCTGGCACCGCCGCACTGCAACGACCGCTGTGCCCGCCCCCGCCCCCGCCCCCGCCCCCGCCCTGCCGCTCACCCGACCGCGCACGCTGCCGGTTCACCACCCCCGTCCAGCCTAACCGCAGCCATATATTCATCGGAATTCCGCTGTCGGGCGGCGACCGGCCTGTCATGTGCAGGCCGCGCTGCGGTCAGAGTGAGTGCCGGGAGCCCCCGAGCGTGATGGGTTCGGGCCGCGGGCAGCGCGCTCGCTCCGTTACGCAGAATTGGCAGCCGCGCCGTCATCAGTAGCGCGGTCATGACACTTGTCATCGGCGACAGCGTGCCCGGAAATCAGATGGGTGCATGCTTCTGGGCAGACGCCGTTGCTACCAGGGGACGTTTGATGTCATGGGCCGCCCTGTTGAGGGGAGGGAGAAAAGCACTGAATCAGGTTACCAAGCGTAATGGAATGGGCCTGTGAACCTTAGGGCAGAGCTGGACTATTCACAGAGCGACCTCTGAAGACTACTATTTGAAAGAGACTTCAGTGAAGACCAGGGTTTCCACCCAGCAGTTGCCAGCGGGGCGGAGCTGAGTGGTGAGCAGGACTACGGGTTCATCGTCAGTGGGGGTCGGCCCAGCTGCGAGTCGTGTAATTCACTGGGCCGTTGCAGGCTCAGACAGAACACCGGTGCTCGGTCAGTGGGCCAGGCCATGGGCTCTGATGTATTGTTACACAGGGTGCTGGCTATTGGTCTTCCGGTCAGACCGGTATCCACTGCACCTGACATAGCACTGATGTTATGTCGGTAGTCCAAGCAAGGCGCTGATGTTTGTTGGCCGTTGGAGCTGGGCCATGAACAGGGCGCTGACTCTCGGCACTGAGTTTGCTCATCGCTCTGGATCGGGCAGGTTTATTCATTTGCCGAAAGTCCTGCACTATACCTACCTCCTGCCGATCCCTGTCCACCAATATTCCCGTTGATGTGAATATACCGATAACAGGGGTGACGGTCGAAGGATTGAACCGATCAACTGATGGTGGGTTTGTAGGCTGAGGTCACACTGACGTCCGAGGGCAGCCATGACAGATGCCAGACCCTGTTTCAATCCATAGTCTCAGTGATCTATGAATGATTCGAAGGCAACGATGACACACCCTGTAAGAGTGGTCATACTTCATAAAAATTGGTTGGTTTTTTATTACAACCATTTTTATTGCAGCCGCAGTGTTCCTTGTTCCTCAGAAAAAATATATTTATTTTCAAGGTGAAATATTGTACCTACCTCACTCAAAAACGCATCCATTGAATATTTCGGGGAAATGTTGATTGAGCATAGGAAAAATTGCATTGACTCAGACCTCAGTTTCATGCTGTCGGTGGTCATAATAGTTATTAATTATTTTATACACGATACCATCAATTATTGTTCCCAAGATCGCAAGCTTATTTATCCTAAAATATTGATTATATGACCGATAATATAAACTACCGATAACTCAGTACCTAATCACTCAGTTGTCACCAACGATAAAGACCAGCCGCGTGACCTTGGCCTCGGGATCGTATAAGGTTATTGAGGTTATGGAGTTTCTCGATGTTTTACTGCTAACAGCTGTGCCATGTCATATCATAAAACTTCTGTCAATCGTGTATTAGTTCCATGCGAGTGTAATTGGCTTCATCCAGCTGACAGACTCAATTTCGTCGTCTATCGGTTTGTGAAAAATGTTCCTACGTGAAAGATGCTAGCAGCTACCTATAGCGCCAACTCGTGCACTTGCGTTCGATGAGCCCAGCAATGTCTGCCGTCTGGTATCTTCTTTGTTTCGTCTACTGTACTGTACTTTGCTGTAATACACTGTTTGTGGCTGACTGGCTGGCTGGGTGGCTGCCTGTGGCCTGTCTGATTTGTCCGACTCACTGGTCTGGTCTGTCGGATGAACATCTGTTCGGTCAGCCATTATAATCGGGAGGCTCCCGCTGCACCAAATCAACAGTCTCCGATGGCTTCCGAGGCGACGATCTCTGTTGATGAAATACTAACAAGATGTGACATCAAAATGAGATTTCCGACGATTTGTTGACCATCTATCAGCACTTCATTTCGACGACTTCTAGGAGCTGGGCGCTGGAAAATCAAATGACTTGACATGGATATTTGATATTGCAAACGTCGGCAGTTGTGCCCGCAAGATAAGATGCATCAGCATACGAATAGGCTGCTAGCACGCTGTTGTCGGGTTGTCAGTTGCACGCCTGGTATCCCGTTGGTTTACCACACAGACGCTTTTATGTAATTGACTTTTACATTGATAGTTGATACGATTGACTTTAGTCTGTGTCTACTATTGTTACGGCGTGACCTCAGTCTGTCACCTCAGTGCAGCATGTTGTCAGTACTCGGTAGGTGACTTCCGCTGCATCTTTCCGCGGCCGGTGCGCGGTGGAGAAACGTGCCTTCGGATGGTCGATGCGGTGGCACGCGCCGGGACGACAGCCAATTGGGAGCTCTGTATCACCGGAAAGGATGACGGAACTGGAGTAATGACACGGCTGTCTCCGTAACGGGGTCACCATTGACCGAGCGCTGGGTCGGAGCTGATGTAGTGGCGATCGGTTTGACTTAGGAGGCTGTCATTTGGACAGACCGAACCGTGGTAGAAGTGTGAGACAAAGCTGCCGCCAGGAAATGCTCGAAATGCTCAGGACTGTTTAAGCTGGTCATGTAGGCTCGATTGCATTTTGCATTTGCGAATGTCTTACGTGCTAAGTATTTTCTGAGTTCAAACGGAACTATCTGCAACGCCGAGGTGTACTCGTGAAATATTTTCCGGTATCCATTCCCGGTATTACTGCAGACCGTCTCAATAATCCCACTCGATGTGTTTCTCCATCTCCCCCTCCCCGGCGTTGTCTGCTCTGCTCACCTGACGCCACGTGTGTCCGTGTCTGTTCACAGGGACTCGGCCGGTGCCGGCAGCAGTCGCGGCTGTCACGACCAGCTATCGGTCCACTCGGGCGCCGGATTCAACATCTGAGAGGGGCCGCGGCAGCCGGCGCCGCCCCCGCCGTTCACCATGCACGTGTGAGTGGGTCGCTGCCGCCCCCGGCCGGCTGTGAGAGGGTCGGCTGCCGCTCCCGGCCGGCTGTGAGAGGGTCGGCTGCCGCTCCCGGTCGGCTGTGAGAGGCACCGGCTGCCGCCCCCGGCCGGCTGTGAGAGGGTCGGCTGCCGCTCCCGGCCGGCTGTGAGAGGCGCCGGCTGCCGCCCCCGGCCGGCTGTGAGAGGGTCGGCTGCCGCTCCCGGTCGGCTGTGAGAGGCGCCGGCTGCCGCCCCCGGCCGGCTGTGAGAGGGTCGGCTGCCGGCCCCGGTCGGCTGACGCTCCTGGTCGGCTGTGAGTGGTGCCGGCTGCCGCCCCGGCCGGCCGCGGCGGTGCGGCGCGGGCGCTCAGTGCCGCTCACAGCCCGTCGCCGCGCCGGACAGTGACCCGCTAGGGTTGACCCACGCCCCACTGCCCCATCCCCACCCCACCCCCACCCAGTCCACCTCCGACGGCCGTCAGGGCAGCGATCTGTGGTCTGGTAAAGGGTTCATGACCCTGACCCGTCTCATACCCAATCAGTTTTGTAACATGTTCGAAGGCTGAGCCCACGAAGGTGCTATCGATGCGCGGCGGCCGGATGAGTGGCAATGTGCAATGGACGGCCGGATTCAGAGGCTATTTTAATGTGAGTGAGTGATGAGTATATGACAGTGCGTATCCATCACCATATGAACAGATGGCCGTGTACTGCCACGGGAGTATTTAGCTCTTTACGTGTATGAAAGATGAACAATCTGTGTCGGCCCCCTATGGTGCCCAATGCGATACTGCTGGCACTGATTACGACGTAATAATTATGTCAATGCCCGTACTTTCCTTCGACAATCACTGTTGAATTGCTGTATATAGCGTGCTAGAGCAGATAGTTTCTTCTGGTATGTGTTTTGCTTCTATGTAGCTGGTAATAGGATGCGTACCTAATTTATCAAGTATATCAACATCGATTGAAACCTTTCAGTGCAACCCAAATAGATAACCGTTAGAACTTTGCTATTTGCAGACAATGCAATGTATCATGGAAGCTCAGAATGTATCCGAGACGCTTTGGATACGTTCAACTCGTACTAAAGGGAATGGTGCTCTGCCAAGGATATGACCCATGTAGGCAATGGTGTGGACGTGACCTCACGCTGGTAGTTATGTATGACGTCATCGCGTCACTACCCTGTGATGGTTGATTGGGTGATAGATTCTCGTGTCAAACAATCTCAGTGGTACCCCGCGCGACGGTTTCAGCGTTGCGACGGTGTTTGACGGTGTTACTCATAATTCTAGAGTTTATGATGTCCGGCATGTTGGATATGTTCGATGTCGCGCTTCGCCCGTTATTGCGTGTGGCCGTGGGTCGGGTGACTGGAGGCTGCCCCTCTCTCCCAATAGCTGTCTACCGCCCTAATGACGTCACCCGATCGTCACCGGTGACGTCATATGTGTGTTGCGATGCGGTGGTTCACTCTGACAAATGCTCAATCCCTGGGTGGGCGCGCCGGTTTGTGGCGTCGTTTTTCCACGACGGGCCGTGTCTGCAGGTGTCGGTACCGGCGTCAGACGACGAAGCGTCGCTCGTGCCGGGAGACTGGGTCCGTTGCCCGCCGACTGTCCCCCCAATAAACGGCCCATGTACACGGAGGTGTGGATGGGATGGAGGATTGGACGGGAGGTCGGTCTCGGACGGTATACATACATAGATTGAGAGGCAGTAACCTAGCTGACTTGGGTAACGACTGACATGACAGACGGCCGTATGGTTAGGGTTAACATTATTACACTTTTCCCACTCCACTGGCAACCCTGCTGGGCAAATACACCACGGGCTGACCCTTTCCAACCCTCAGCCGCCCCCGGCACTGTCACCTCGGGTCGGCCACATGACCGGCCACAGGTCACGGGTGCACCTGTACTGGCCGGTTCAGTGTGGATCTGAGAAGGGCCGGCTGGACGAGTGCCGGGGAGGCAGTGTCCGGCGGTGTGAGGGGACGGTTAGTGCCGTGATGTCAGTACAGCAGACAGGCGAGGTGGACACGGAAGTCACGGTGCCGCGGTAGTGTGAGCTGGTGCTATACATCGTCAGGTGTGTCCGCTGAGGAGACGGCCAGGTTACGTCTCGCAGTCAGCCGGAGGATGAACAAGAGAGCTTCCCATCCAGCGTCCGACGCGAGAGGTGAAGGTGAGTTGTCCAGCGAAACAATGCTGCGCCTACCACCAGGCTGCTGTGCTCTGCCCTCTCTCACATCAGGGAACCATTTTCCCACAAGCATACAAATTGCGTCGTTAAGTCGTACCTACATTTTGTACAGTTGTATAGGTAAATAGGTACGGCGGCATAAAAGGCTGAGCTAGGGCCATGGCACTGGGTGGGACGTGGGGTAGCGTTAGCTGTCGCCAAACCCGGGGCAATCAATGCCCGGCCACTTGAATCCACGATGTCTAACGTGGTGCACCATCTGCCGTCGAGTATATGCGCATTTAAGTTTTTTCGCCTACTTCAAAGAGACATTCTAATGCTATTCCTATGAGGGATAGATTCTAGAATAGCAATGTTTCCTCATATTGCTGAACTTTTTACGGAACCCACACCCTTAATTATGCTGGGCGAGACGGAATTGCGTTATTTTATTTTGGTTGCAGGAGAGCCCACCCCTCTGCTATAATTCCCGTTTCGCGGCAGGTGAAGCACATTTGTACCTTAGGCAGCCGACTTAAGTTAGCGGGAACTCGGAACGACTAGCCATTTCATAAATACGGCGGTGGCATGTACGGCCATTGCCCCTGAACTCGTTGCAATGCATTTTCGAGGAGATCGCCATAACGTAAAGAGCCTCTAAAATGATGTTAATCGTCGCCCACGGGCCATTGCTTTCAAGGAACTAGGAAGCTATGCGTCGAGGGACCCTACTGAAAACGAGCGCGTCTTGCAGTTTTGAGAAGCACCGTGCAGGGACAAACCTGAACGAGCCAACACGTTTCGGAGCTGCCCAAGCGTGCCCGTGGGCTATGCAAAATGGAAGATACGATTTCGTTTCTGGCACTTCCGCACTGCCATTCCCCCATGAGCAACATAAACAGCATCATCTGACTGCCGATGCTGCCCCACCGCAGATTGCAGATCACGGGCCCAGCGGCGGTTGGGCGCTGTGAAATACCACGACCTTCCCACGGGCCCGGCGGGGACTAAGGGGGCCTGTACACCCGGAATGAATGGCCGCTGGGTCGCAGCGAGCCGCTACTTATCATGTAACTATCGAGCTGCATCGGGCCGCGGTCGGGTGGCGGGGGCGCTGGCCAGCTCTCCGACAATACGCCAACATCGATCGGGAAGAGGGCTGGCCGGCCACCGCCTGACGGCTCCTCTGTGACCCGCGACTGCGGCGGCCGCCGGAGAGCGATACACGCCGGAGAGCGATACACCCGGAGAGCGATACACGCCGGAGAGCGATACACCCGGAGAGCGATACACCCGGAGAGCGAAACACCCGGAGAGCAAAACACGCTGGAGGGCGTTCCCTGGCGGCCAAAGCTCTCGCCACTACCATCCCGAGCTGCTACCATCGAGCTGTGTGTCATCTGACGCGCGACGCGTGCTCTGCGCGCTGCGCAGCCACGACATCGGGGCACGGGACACTCGATACTGGAAGAGGAGCCGTGGTGCGGGCGCCGGTGCCAACTGCCAGCTGCCAAAAGCGGCGTCTGAGTGCCACATCAAGCCTCCCTGTTCTTGGGAGAGACGAGTTTCTGTCACTCCGGCCCGCCCCCGCCCTGTCTGCGACACGTTCATCGCATATTCAACGGACGGAAACGGGATGCAACGTCCTGCAATGATAAAGCCGAGACGTCTGAATCAGGTGGACGTTAGAGATGCTAAAGTCCGTCTTTACATTGCAATTGTCGAGGCGACACTGGAATTTAATTAGAAAAAGTTAATGAAAATAAAGGACTGAATTACCACGGCATAAAATTGACCTTGACCTTGACTCTGACCATGACATCTGAACATCGTCGAATAGCATGTTCCATGATAGGTGGGAGGTAAGATTAGCAAAAACACACCGAAATCAAGGTGTCGAAAGCTCACAAGACCCATAGCCAACGCAAAATGTTGAGTAGTACCTATTGGTCAGTTGGGTCATGACATGACCTGAAAAACAAGGTTATTGCATTTTAGGCTTGCTGAATTTGCTTTTCGTGAAGTTTTTTGACTGATTTTTTTTTGTAAAAGCTTCTCAGATTATGATCTCATGTAATAGGGACACACAAACCAATCGGTGCACAACCAGTATACATAGACATACACACACAGACACACATAGACAATAGACATGCAAACACATATCATTGACCTTAATCTAGCTTGACCTGGAATGACCACATCCAGTAAAATCCTAGTCGGATAGTGTGTCAAAGAGCTGTTCTAGCTGGCTTGGCACCACAAACGGCAGCGCCATCGGTATATGATGGGCACCGCACGTGATATTCCAACGGTGGCCCCAAACAAACAGCAACATTTGTAGTTTGAAACGACCTGGAAGGTCAATGATTGACCTAATGAGGTAAAATTGGGTACCATTGGATTCATATCTTCCCAAAGAATTTGTTGGTCTTTACCGCAAAGCTCTATCTCCAGCAGGAACGAAATGGCGCGGGGGGTGGCAACCCCCTTCACCATGTGCGTTCTAGGATGGGAAAATGGCATGTGCGGGCGAGGGTTAATGCACTGTGTGACTACGTGGTTGTTATGTGACCCCAAAAAAACCAACGAAGTCGATATGTCATAATGCCAGGCTATTATAATTAAGAATAGGTATTCACTTCTTATCCCGCGCCCCACTGGGGGGGGGGGGGCTATTCATAGCCCCCCTCCCGTTTTTCTGCAATAACTTCCAAACCGCTTGACGTATCAACGCCAAACTTTCAGTACCTTCGGCTGCATCAATTTGACACCTTGTGCCAAAATATGAACTTCGTAGCTACCATAGGTCAGCCGGAAATGACGTCAGAGTGACGTCATGTTCGGCCGATTTCTACGCAAAACATTGAACCACGGCAATCGCTCCCAAGAGCTCGGTTTTTAAGCTAGATCCAATTTCTTTGCATGAGAGGACTCAAAATGCATAGCGCTATCAAACTGCTATCTCGGATTTTCAAAAATTTGAAAATTTCGAAAATTTTATATAATAAAATTCAAAATTTATATTTTCATATTTTTCATTTTTTTACTTTTCGAAAAAAAAAAACAGAATACATATGATAGAACGCATGCTTATGACTAACTCTAGCAAGTTTTAGCTAAATATCTTCAAAAAATGGCCAAGTTATACGCATTATTGCAAAAAATCACAATAATTAATTTTTCAAATCAATTTTTCAGTACGTCTTTGACATTGTACACCAATATAAGTAGCATCATCGTGTTTCTGAGCTCAAACTGCATCCAATAGACACCTTTTTTGTTGAAAAATTTTAACTTTTAAATTTGACCTTTTTGACCTGAAAGTGACCTGAAAGTGACTGACCTAAGCAAAATTCGACTCAAAATGACCTCTAATGACATAGACGACATCAAATTCGAAATCTATGGCCTAAATGGACCATAAAACATGTGTCACGTGACCGACGCATGATATAATATTTCCGTGACCTGTGATGACCTGACCCTGACCTGAAAATAAAAGTACAAGTTTGATGCCCTCAGGGTATCTAGAGCATCTGTTCACGAGTGTGTATACCAAATATGAGCCTGATCTGACTTGTAAGACGGCGGCCAGAGCCCAAAATGTGAACAAACCAAAATGCTAATAGTTATTACTTTGACCTGACCTGTGACGTCATCGGTGACCTTGAGGTCACTGAAATTAGGTTTCGATCGACAGTTTTTCCGGGGCTATCAGATGCCGTTTGAATTTCGACGATCGGCCCAGTAGTTTCGGAGTTAGGAGGGGGCTATGAAGAGCCCCCCAGTAGGGCGTGTTATACGCAGACCCCAGTGGGGCGCGGGTTATGCCCCTGCTTTTTTTCAACAGCGTGAAAATTTCGTCAAGATATCTCACAATCCTTGTGGCACAGTTTCCCATTATACTTTTTTTGCTTATTAGGTATATCAATAAGTAAGCTTTTATCTTTGAAGATTTACACAGTAAACATACATGCCCTTATGAGTTTGTGGTTGTGAGAAATAAAACGGATATAAATGAGACAGATGGAAGCGAGAGCCCGTTATTAAAGAGTGACCATCTCACCTTAACATTAGTTTGAAGTTGAGATAGCCACATTCGGGTCCCTGGCCTGCAATTACCGGTTTGGCCACTCACAACATCGAGAGATGTTTTAACTTGGAGATATCTAAGTTCAAAGTTGCGGTTTTAGAATTCTAAGGGGCTAATGCATTTGAATGCCCCCCCCCCTGGAATTGGTGACGTCAGCGCAGATCTAACGACTTTTAAATCAAGTACTAAAACTCTTACACAAACCTTATACAAACCTTTAGGGGAGAGTGGGGCACATTCGTGCATGGGGAACATTCGTTTTCAGCAGTTTATGGGAATACGAGTGACTGCACGAGCTCAAGGTAATTTATGGAAATATGTCTATCATTGCCGCCATTCGTTCACCGTAGAAGACAACACTGTTCCT